AGTTCCCATAATCACACCAAAAAGAGCAGTTACCCCAATTGACCTACTATCCCCTCATGTCAGCACCAAAAAGAATTTGAGTTCATTTAGGAAAATTCCACAAATCTGTTGAGTCCAACCAAAAAGTTTTCTATGTACTTGGACCTTAGGATCATAGGACAGTTCGGGTTCAGGACATCACTAGTCCAACCTTCTGCTCAAAGCAAGGCCAATGATGACCCTTATTTACTCCAGCCAGAATACATAAACTTTCCTACTACATCTGCATGAGGATGATAGTAGATATGTCTTAATGGGTAAGTTAAACTACCCCAGAGAATGTCAGCAATCACAAAGAAAAAATTGGGCAGACTGGCCAACTCCATTCTTCTCAACTCTTTTCTGCCTCCAAAACTAGGCAATTTTGTTCAAACTGCCTGCTGAAATTGTCTTTGACACACGTGAACTCCTGAACCTGGGAAGAGGTTGTGAGAGAGCTAGTTGGCCAGGAAAAAAGCATTCTGGGTCTATTTTAAGCATCTCAAAGCATAGACAGAGCCTTGCAGAGTTAAACTGGTCAGTACAGATTCAGCCAGTCACTGTCTGAACCTGCAATTTGTGAATTCCAGGGAACTCTGGTTTTTTGGCAGCTACAGAAAAGGTTGAAAAGCAGATTTCTGACTTTTGCCTCATCTTCTACATGCAAATAGGAAAGCCTTTGGTTAGCAGCACAAAAAACAAATACCTGTCAAAGAATGCTGGCCAGAAAGAGAACACCAAGATCTAATTAAAATCAATGAAATTTTTATCACTGACTTGACTGAAATTAGATATGGCATGATTAGCATCAGTCACAGTCGCCTCATCCTGGATAAGATATCAGAGGGCTCGTGAAGTAAACAGGACTGCTTTATAGATCATCAATAATGCAGTTTCATGCATGTGCTTTGAGAAAGTATTTGCAGAGAGCCTGTCAAACAGTTGAATCAAATACTTTTTTTTAATTAGAAGCGTTATTGATAGTTGAATAAATATAAGAGACAGAAGAACTAAAATATGTGGAACACCTGAGCTTGTGCAAAATGAACACTCTTCATTTTTTCAGTATCTAGTACAAGATATTATTTATGAGAGTTTTTTCTGAATAAATGAGAACTACCGCAATTGATAAAGATCATCTAGGATTTTAAATATTTTAATTGCTTTTTCCTATAGCAGCATATAAACAAGGCCTTTTAAAGTATGTGGTAGGCTGGCTATTAGAGAGATGGGTTTGATCATGATGAAATCTCCTTCTATACATAATTCAGAAATCTGTTTCACCCCACAACACTCCAAATATTAAAGAAAAATAATAATTCCATGGCTTTTTACAAGCTAATAGATCATTTCACTTTTCAACTACAACCATCTCTTCTTTATTCAAGTTAAAGCATTAAAACCAAACAGCTCTGCTCTCAATCTTGTGTTGCAAATAATAAAGCAATGGAAGTAGAACAAGATCGCTGTTGTGCTTTGATTCATGTTCCGGACAGGACCTGTTTAAATATAACCCTGACTGTCTGTAGCTCGATTCAATCAGGCCCCCTCATGCAATTAGTTTCCTACCTATCAACACAAGAGTACATTGCTGTGAAAGGTGAATAAAAGGAGGATGTGAAGATGGGGACCCTGCAGGTGCACCAGCACACCAGCAGACAGAAAAAACAGAATAGCCCTCGGTCAAAGGACGCAGGAAGGTAGCCAAACCCGCACCGACCGCAGGTGAAGGCCTGAGATCAAATATCACCAGAGCAGCACAAAGGAAGACGTTGCTGGGAGGCTGTGAAAGACAACAGATAAGGCAAGGGGGATAGTCTCTGCAGTGTCATGCAGGAGGCAGAGTAGATAGCACAGCTATGTGAAGTTTTGAACAAATGCAAAGTCTTATGTGGCTGGTTGAGGAAGCTGAAGCCTTTTCAAGCCATCATCACATTTTTATGACAAAGGAAATATTAAATTCCCACAATTCTTAGTGAACACTCTGGAAACAGAGGGATGCATTGCTCAGTTGCACTATCATTTGTTCCTGGTCTCTCCAATAAGATCTGTGTGTGTTAGTTCCCATATAGGGTACAAATACAAGACTATAATTTATAGAAATCAAAATTAATAAACTAGATTAGACTAGACTAGACTTGAATGTTTCAGTTTGAAGGGATCTACAGTGATCATCTGGTCCAACTGCCTGACCAAGTCAGGGCTGACCAAAAGTTAAAGCACTGTACAAATGCCTTTTAAACACTGACAGGCTTAGGGCATCAACCACCTTTCTAGGAAGCCTGTTCCAGTCTTTGACCACCCTCTCAGTGCTTCCTAGTGTCCAGTTTGAACTCCCTTGGTGCAGCTTTGAACCATTCCCATGCATCCTGTCACTGGATACCAGGGAGAAGAGCTTAGCACCTCCCTCCCCACTGCACCTTCTCAGGAAGCTGGAGAGAGCAGTGAGATTGCCCCTCAGCCTCCTTCTCTCCAAACTAGACAAACCCAGAGTCCTCAGCTGCTTCTCTCAAGGGCTGCCTTCCAGCCCTTTCACTAGCTTCATTACCCTCCTCTGGATGCACTTCTTAAATTTTGGGGCCCAGAACTGCACACAGTTCTCAAGGTGAGGCCACACTAATGCTGAATACAGCGAGATAATCCCCTTTGTTGATGGACTGGTCATGCTGTGTTTGATGCACCCCAGGATGTGGTTTGCCCTCTTGGCTGCCAGGGCACACTGGCATATCCCTATCTTCAACATTGATGTCCAGTCACTTGTCTCCCAGTCTTTACTTGTGCCTGGAGTTACTCCATCCCAGATGCAGAATCCAACATTTGGACTTGTTAAATTTCACGTCATTGTTGATTACCCAATTCTATTATTTGTCCAATGTTAAATACTAGTATTTATTAGCAATTAAATACTATAGTATTTAAAATCTTAACTGTTCTAATAGTGGGTGTGTATATATATGTGTATGTAGCGAGAGTGATTACATAAATATATGTTATTAGACCATTTCATTAAACTTAAAGTCCTCCTATTGTGTGCATTTTTCAATGTAAAGCTTTTTGCTCAGTTATTACTGTGGATCCCATTAGCTTTTTATTTCAAGATAAGAAAATCAGACATAAAATAAGAAGTAATTATCTTAGTCTGAACAATAGAAAAAGGCAGACTGGGGGAATGATCATGTGGGGAGTTGCTTGATAATTCCTCTGACAGTCGTGAGTGTTAGTTGCGATGTTTTTGTAGCATATCTATAAGATTCTTCAAAATACATTACAAATCAGTGCTCTCACTTCTCTTAACTGTTCTCACAACATTTACAGCACTACGTCAGTGTGAAGGAGTTGTTTATATGTCCCATCTTCCAGAGACAGGTGTTTGTTCAATTTTGCTATTTCAAGACCCCTTGCCTGCAAGCCAATAAAGAATTTGTAGGTGAAAACTATGAACTTGGGAGTGTGAAATAAATCCATTCCCAGAGTTTCTTTTTAATTATTTTAAGATTAACTTTTTAAAAATCTCTTTCTTTTAGATATCTGAAATATGTTAACTTCCTGATATGATGAACAGAACATCTGTAGTAGGCACATTGCATTGGGACATAGCATATGCATTCTTTTCTCCAAAGTTTCAGAATATGCAGGAAAAGGAAATAAGATGAATTGCTCATTTTCAGTTCCTCACATTTTTATACAACTAGTTTCTCTCCATTTTGAAACTACTTTTTTTTCCTCCACAAAGTGAATTGATTTCCCCTTGCAACAATGAGAGATCAAGTGAGCAATTCACCCTTTTCTCCCTGAAAGAAGGTCATGACTGAGGTATCTGAGGCAGCTGTAGTTAGCTTCAGAGCTGTGAAATAGAGCTGTTTATTCATTGTCTGCTCTGTTATGTGATCTTGCTGTGCTGCTATTGACTTCAGTGACTGTCAAACTGGGAGTCTTTACAGAGAAACAGCTGCCTAGTTTGTAGACCAACAGTAGCAATACACTTTCCCTGTCCTGAGCATGCTATTCAAATATTAATGAACACTAGCTCTATTAGAATGTCTGGTGCAAATAATTGTCGTCATGCAGACAGAACTGGAAAAGTGCTCTCTTTATCATCGCAACAGATACAGCTCATTTATTTTAGTTGTGAGCATCCCATGGTGATGTGCTGAAGTATCTCAGTACTGATTTGGAAGAGGCAGTTCTAGGTCTAAGACACCACTAAGGTGCCTGTGGCTATGAATGATATATGTTGTCTTGTATCAGAAAAGAAAGATACTATTTTAACACAGTAAAATTCCCTCTATAACCAATAGACATAATTGAAAATAATGCAGGGATAAAATCCATTTTTTGAGTCTGTTAACATATATGCCTGCATGTATTTGCTTTTGAAGAGGTGAAATTGTCTTTGCCATCACACAGAATGCAAGGAACTGATTTTAGAATCATACTATTATCGTAACAGAGCAAACAGTGTTCTAGCCTAATCTACTGAAAATAATTCACCTTTTGACAAAAAGTAATTCTGGAAAATTTCAGCCAGTAAAGTAACATTTTTTAAATACTGTAAAATATTCAAAAAAGTACAACAGAATGCAAATGTATATATGCAGGTTTGATGGTAATGGTTTCTGAAATGTTGTTGAATATTTTTGGTAATTCCAAGCTAAAGGATTCAGTGAGACCAGATGCTTCACTTGGACATCTTTTTCTCTCCCAATCTTTCTCTTTCTGCTTGATAGGTATAATAACATGTGCCACTGAACCATGCGTGCAATTAAGTGCTCAATGATAATATGGCTTTTAGAGTCATTTTATCACTACCTGTACTTCGCTATCTAGAAAGTTACCTCCTCATGTCACAAACTACGTGGTTCTTTATAACAAATGACATTGTATTTTACATTGTACCCTTTTCCAAAAGATACAGCAAACCATGGTATACACTTTCATGAATCTGATCTTTTTTCTTTTTTTTTCCTGTTTTGTTTAACAGGTATGTTAGGTCAAGCACGAAACATGACATTGACATGAGAATAGGGATACATTCGGGATCGGTTTTGTGTGGAGTGCTGGGCCTGCGGAAGTGGCAGTTTGATGTCTGGTCATGGGACGTGGATATCGCAAACAAACTTGAGTCAGGCGGAATTCCTGGGTAAGGCAACGTGTATGTCTCACAGCCGGAAAACATTGACAGCACAGTACACTGTTAACCTTGGCAACAGATTAACTGTCTTACATTATTCCATCAACTATGACCTCTTTTTTTTTTTTCTATTTTGCGGTTGGCAAGGATTTGTGAGGTTATGGTCAAAAAAGGTAGAATGGTCAGCTTGCAGAGGCATTCAGAAAGACAAAAATTTATTTTTCTTTGCCAGCTATGATTTCCTAAAAAAGGTCAGTTGCTGTATTCAGACCATACAATACTTAGCAGTAGCCTAAATTTCCCAGCTAGGTGTTGACCTTTCCTGACTTTTTCCAGGCTTCATTTTCTTGTTCTTTGCATGCAAATGCTGTTGTGAGGCACAAGGCTGTAATTTATTTTATTTCATAATGTACAAAGTGTAGGAAGGATTATGTGTTCATAGGTCGTTATGCTAATAACAAGGCAATATGGACAGTAGGATCTCTAGGAAGTCTTTTAAATAATTTGATGTTTTAGTAGGTGTCTTGAGACAATTGTGCCAATCTGTCTATACGTGAAAATACATAGTTTTTCATTGAGCTACCTAGTTTTAATTGGTCTGGTGTGGCTAATTCACCTGGAAGATAGAATGTTATTTCTGCCTTACATGGTCTATATCTCACTATAGTTTTGAAATTATAAATCCTAAATTTTAAGCAACAGTAGTGGTTGCAGGAATCTTCTGTTCCCTTTCAGTTCCACCACCCATTGATGAAAGATGTAGCAAAAGATCCCCATAACAACTAAATATTTGGCCACGGAACTTAGACACAATAGCAGCAGACAAGTTTATGCATAAAAAGTCTAAGTGATGCTGTCATCTTAAGTGAGAGAGGTTTTAAGTCATCAAATCTGAGGCGCACATCAGGATTTGTCAGGGCTGTCATGTTCCCAGGAAGTTAGAAAGATATTTGCTTTATATTGTTTTCATAAGTGAGGGCCCTTTCCACCATTCCCCATAGAAGATTTTTATACTAATATATATTCTTAGAATTAGCAGAAAATGAAGCATTGCATGCTCTGAAAACAAGTTCTGTACTCTGCATATGTCACCAGTGTATAAAATTGCAAAGAGTATTTTTTGTCACTGCTGCTTATCCCACATGAAAGCCCTAGGTGACTAAGAAAGTTCACATCCTGCTTTGATAACATGAGCAAATTGATCATCTAAGTTTTACCATCCGCACTTGCAATAGGTCTAGATTATTGCTGTTAATGGTGTAAGTAATACGGCTGTTAATGAATAACCTGGAGAATGCACCACCTTGCTGCTGCTGATAAAATGTCTGGCTAGGTTGCAGTCTATTGGAACAAAGTGATTTCCACTCCTCTACATCAGTTTGCCAAGAGAACAAAGCCTGTATGTGACAGCAATTCACTAAGTTCCTCGAAACAGTGATTTACGTTTAGCGTTCCTAGTGTGCGGAGTAGATTTAATGGAGCAGTTAAGTTCACTTCAGCCTCTCCTTACTTCTCCTTAATGCCAGCATATAAATCCCCCTGATACCGAGATAATTCCCATTCCCAGAGCTGCACTGCTTCCGTCTGTTTTGTCAGATAAGCTACCCAAGGGTTGTGAATGCCCCTGCTCCCACCATGGGAAACAAGAGCAAAGATGAAGCACAGCCTTTCCCTGAGCACACAGAGGAGGGATGGTCCAGGAAGGAGGTCGCCTGCCCAGAATGGGGAGAATCTCTCCATACAGGCTGGGGGTAGGAGAGAAGGGGCTCAGCTCTTCCCCTCACCAGTTGGATATCACCCTGAGACCTCATAAGCATGGGTGGTGCAAGGACAGGTTGCCTGTGAGTACAGGAGCTTAAGCAGGCAGCCTAGTTAACATGGAAGGATGCACTTGGGAGCACTGAGAAAAAGCAACCATTTCTGGTTTTCTGAGATGAAAAAAATGTGCTCACAATACCTAAGAAGGAAACCATGTGAGATCCTACAATGTTATTTCACAGACACTTGTCTGCCAGGACACCATCTTCACTTGGTGTATTTAGTTATTCATTCATGGTATTGAATTGGCATAAAAACCTAGCTAATAATTAATTTTCCAGGATGTATCCATGACAGGTATCATCTAAAGCTTTGGATCCGGTATGTTTTCAACAGTAGGACAGGTTATACCATTGTATTTCAATACTCAGGTTCTTGATTTACTGTATTCATTTAAAATTGGAAAGACATCACTCACATTTTAGGTTTTCTTAAGTAAGCACTACAAAAGATGAAACCAGAAAATTTTTTTAATCTGCCAACTATTTAGTAATATTTGATCCATTAAAGAGTATTACATCAATAACCAGAGCCATGCTCTAGTTAAATCTGTTATCGTTTCCATTATGAAATCCATATTTCAGAGCTTTATAATGCAATCTTCTCAAATTATATTAGCTGAAACTCAGCACAAAGATAGTCACCCTGGCAACTAATGTATAATTTTATTTTTATTTCTTCTTTTTTTTTTTAAATTACTACTTTACTTAAATCAGTTTAGTCTCCTTGTGTTTCTAAGAGCTATGAAATGCATTGTTTTTCTGAAAGATCGTATGATCTGGTTTTAATGTCCAGGCCAAAAGTTGCTAATACTTGAGAAGCATATTTACTGTTATTTTTATTGTTTGTTATTGTCAGTTTTACTGACATTTGACTGTAAAAGAGTACTAATCTTTGTGGACATCATAATGACATGACTTCAGGTAGTGAAAGTTGTACAAAATCTGTGTTTATTTCAGAGGGGAGCTGACACAAGTTAAAAAATGGTTGAGATACATACAGATTTTTTATCTTTTAATTATATACTGCTATTTAATACTCTACGTATATCTGGTTTGTGACATATTCTAATACTACTGAGTATTTCATATATTTAAAGACATCCAGCACTTTATCTTCTGGAGACACATGCACATCATAAATGTGTTTAGAGCCTTTTCACTCCAGGAGTATTTTATGCAATTTAACTCTGTAGTGACATCCTTTAAGTTCCAGAAGAAAGTTCCAGAAGGGGCGTGCTAGGACCATTTTCTTCAGTGGACACAAGCTAATTTGTGATGCCTGAGAAAAATGCCTCAGCATGTGTCATTAAGATCAATAATTTTAGTTGACTGAATTTTAGGAATCTGTCTGCATGTCCAACTTTCAGAAAATGCCATGCATCCAAATTTGAAAAAGGGGCTGATTAAAATATCTTTATGGAGTCATAAAAATACTTTAATCAGCAATTTGCCCTACATGCAGGAAGTTCAAGATTTTTTAAAAATCGAAATATAACCTACTTTTTACTTTTGTATTATTTTTTGCTTGAACTTCTTTCTGTCCTTCTCCAGCAGTCATAATTACAGTTAAGAAAGTCCAGATACCAAGCACCTTCACGTTTGGTTGGAAGACATCCAAAACCTTATCATGCTTTTGCAAAATTTGAGCTTTTCGTATGTCGGATCTCAGATTCAACTTCACTTTTGCAAAAGCGTTTTGAACTCACTGCTTACTCTTACCAGAAATTACCACCCCACCAGCCTTTATATAGTTTCCCAACTTCCCTAATTCACTTCTGATGCAATCAGATAACTAATTTCAACTGTCTAAGCTACCTCGGATAACCAAAGGAAATTAAAGAGTTTTCACACAAACTGCTCTAATGCATTTTCCTCTCACTGTATTTGCCTGAAGTGGCCATTTACATTCACTCTAAATAGTTTTTTACTCAGGAAGGTCTTCCATTAAACTAATACTGTGAGCAAAAGTATCAGGTGTGAATATCAAAGTGTTTTTACTGTGACAGGACTTCGTGCATTCATGAGATCCTATTAATGTGAATATGCCCTGAGAGAATTTTCCTCAAATGAAGCTCATGTTTTTGAATACACGATTTCATTTTCATAATATATATCATCATATACAATAGAAAACCTTCCATTTAACCATCATGTTGAAAATTATGCAAAGTTCATAAGCTCCTTCTTACGTATGTATAGTAAAGCACAATCAGTATTTGCTACTACTTATTTCACTTATCCAGGAGAATTCACATCTCCAAAGCCACTCTGGACTGCCTGAACGGAGATTATAAAGTTGAAGAAGGGCATGGTAAAGAGCGTAATGAATTCTTGAGGAAACATAACATCGAGACTTATTTAATCAAACAACCTGAGGAGAGTTTGTTGACTTTGCCTGAAGATATTGTGAAAGAGGCTGTCAGCTCCTCCGACAGGAGAAACAGTGGAGCAACATTTACTGAAGGATCCTGGAGCCCTGAACTTCCATTTGATAACATAGTGGGAAAACAGAACGTAAGTCAAACTTCCTTTAATGTCATCAAGTACGAATGCATGCTTGAGTGCATTTCAATAATGGAAGCCTCAGAGGAGACAAATTCATCTTTAACCTTTATTCTAACACATACTGTAGCAGTAGAGGATTAAACAAATTGTTTCAGGGCAGAAATAAATCATGTATTCAAACTGAGGAAATGTCAGGGGACCAGAGGTATTTGGGGTTTTTTCCAGCTGAAATTAAATACTGCACAGCTTAGTCCATAAAGAAGTGAATTAAAAGTAAAGCTTATGTTACTAAACTAGCTGGGACTTTCTAGTCAGAACATATCTCATTGCATAGCTTCACTGCACTGCCATCAAAGTAAAGGGATGAGTGAATAGATCTTTTGCCAGAGGAAAAAGCATAATTATTGATATATAACAGAAAGAAAGAAGATCTAACTTTAAAAAGCATCTTGTGAAAACAGTTTGTCAAATCTTAATTTTTCTTTTTTTTTTCTTTTTTAATAAAAATATTAAAACTTTAGATTATAAGACATAAGGCTCATTAGCAGGTGAGTTAGACTGTAAGGTCATGTGTAGCTTAATACAAATATATTAACAACTGCTCCTGATCAGACATTTTCTAAAAACACTGCATGGCTAACAGCTAGCACCCTGGGAGACATTTCTCGTACAGTCATAAAACTTGCTTTGTGAAGTCTGCTCACTTAGAGGAATTAAAGATTGAAAGGTTAAAATACCCTCAGACACCACTGTCCTCATTGCATTTGAAAGATTGATGAGCCTTTATGAAGCAAGGTCAGCTGGAGTTTTCATCCATTTTTCTGAGGGATCTGTAACGACATGATATATCCTTTCTTCTGCTGCACATCCTTACTCCTACCTGTCTGCACTGTCCGTTCAACTTCAAGCCTTGTGTGGAGGTCTTGCTTTGTCAATTGTCTTCTGCTTATTGCAAGTCTGCTCAGAAGTGATAAGCCTTCACAGTCAATCAGTTCATGGCAGTGTCTTCGTCTCCTCAGACCAAGCTGGAGCATGGCATAGTACCTGTTATAAAAAGCACCTGTTTTATATATGTTCTGCACACATGTGTATCTGCATGTACACTGCTTTTTAGTATTCTCTGTATTTTGTTGACCTGTCTCTGTATTCTCATTTCATCAGGAGCAGAGGTATGGGTGTATGCTGCTGTGACTATCTTCTGATCTCTCCCTATTCCTTCTTCTTTCCCTTTGAGACATTCCAATTTCTGTAGTCCAGAAAGTCAATGCAGACTATCATTTCGCTGATCATTTTCTCAGCTAAACTGACCTTGATACTAACAAGGAGGAGGAATGAAATAAAAGGGCTAATGTTTTTATTCAATTATTGAACCATGCTCACCGATTGAACCAGTAAAAAGCCCATGAAAATCATTTAAAGAAGCATAAATAAATTGCTTTAAAGATGGTTTTTGTCTTATGGCAATAAACAATCCATTTTTAGAGTAATTTCTCACTGCTTTTTTAAGAACTTCATTTTGTACTGGAAATAATTATAACTCCATAATACACAGCTTTACAATAAGCTTTTTGGTGGAGACAAGAAGTTACAAACATGCTATTCCATGTGTGATTCAATTTTTATGTAATTTTCAATTTTAAAGTTGAGGCAATAGGCATTACTGCTTATAAATAATGTATTTCAACGCAGAATTCAGATGATAGATTTAAATTATACCAAGTTATAGTAGCTTTTTCCAGAGGTGTGTCAGTCTTGGACAGCATAAGCATTTAATAACATTAATTATGCATCCTGAAAGTCACTGGCAGTAGCAGATGTTAAGAATCCAAGTAGCAGCAACCCAAAAATTAATCACTCTGTATGTTTGATTATTTGCCAATGGCATTTAAATTCTTTCTTTACCCAATATAAGTTACAACAAAATTTGAGCAACTATGATCATGTATCTTACTTTTAGCTGCAGTTATGATAGAAAGAATATGAAATGACCAAGTCTCTAGTGAGTTCTCTTGCCAAACTCAAATTTATCACAGTCCATATTCTTTACCTCAAACTCATTTTTTATGGGCAGCCTAAGTCAATGAATTGAAGGTGTTTTGATATGAGTAAGGAACAGAATAACCACGCTTTATGTATGCAGTCACAGACATTAACAAAAGCTCTGTGTGTCTACAACACAGTCATCACCATGTGCCTTAGTTGTGATGGTGAGGTGAGCCAAGGACACAAGTGTCTGCTCTGAAATTCAGATCGTGTCCAATATGGATGGAGTTTTATGCTACTGAAACAAGTGTCCGGATTTCTTTCCTAAAGCAAAGAAAGTTGGACAGAAGTTATTTTATGTTAAAAGACAGAACGCCTCCTCCTCTAAAATAAATTAATAATTGATGAAGTTGGATTTCTTTGCTGGGCCTTAAAAACAGAAGTAGCTGAAAGCATAGGTCACTGTCTGTGGTGCTGGAAGCACCTGATGTGCTCATAATGGCATGAATTAGGAAAAAAGCATATTAAAATGTCTGTATCTTATATAAGCATATTTTACTAGTGGCTGCAGTGACTTTTAATAGTTATTACAAAAAATATTCTTAAAGGCTGCCAAGATGACAGACAAGTATAAACAACAGGGTGAAATTCAGTTCAAAAACCAAAGCACCTGCATTTGTGTATTTACCAACTATCCCAGGTGTCGATCTCCCACACAGCTCAGCTCCTAAACATAAAGGTTTTGTGCCACTTGTGGTTCTCTAAAGTGCCCAAGACATCCATATGACAAGGGGCCTGTAGATGACCTGTGGTCATCTGGACTATCAGTTAGTAGCCAGGTAAGAGACTCTGATGTCTCAAATAATGGTAAACACCTGCACTGGAACATGCTGAGTACGAGCTTGATTCAGCTTCTTAACTGTGTCTGTCTGCTGCAGTTTGAGACACCCCAGGCATGCCAGGTGGCCTCCACCACCGACCAGCAGTGTATGGGGTTCCTGTAGGTCTTCTGCCATATCACCTAGCTCCAGACTGTTGTCCAGGACACCCTAGGGCACCCATAGCTGTATATGATTGTGCAACTGAAAGTATCCAGAGTGTATATTGCCAGTAATAAAGCTTAGACACCAAACACCTAGACACCTTCATTTTGGTGTCTTCCTCTAGAACCAAACCCTACCTCTATCCTGTCTCTTTAAACATATGACTTTGTATTTCACTCCTTCCCTCCAATACTTGGTGTTTGCAGCATGAAGAAAATAATTTGAAGCCTTCCTGGAGTTTTCTAAATCACACTAATTGAAAAATTCCTTTCTTGTTGAGGTCATGATACTTGGACTTATTGCATGAAAACTTTGCGAGAAGGAATACCTTATTTTCAAGTCTCTCTAGAATACCTCTAAAGTTGAAGTTTTATTATTTGTTTGTTTTAATTTATCCTTTATTTTAATCTCAGATGCCGCTTTGACTGGGCTTTTTCCTAACAGAATCTTGTATGTGTTACTGTATGATAAATGGTTATTGTCAGCATCAGGACAGTTCAAATGCCCATTGTAGGATTCACAGCTGTATCTTCCATATAGCTGTTCACAAAAGTGTAGGTGAGGTAATAGGGAGAACCCATATTTCTTTATGTTGGCATAACACAGTCTTAAAAGATGCGGAGTAAAGAGGGTGTTACAGAGACAAAATGTGGTTAGAACGTATTCTTGGGGCAATAATTTGCATGATATTTTTCATTATTGTTATTACTAATTACAGGGATGCAGTTTTCTTAAGTATGTGTATAGGTGTGAGGGAGAGAAGACTCAAATACGAATTTCCTTGTTATCCTCTGGAAATAAACACAACTTCAGAGTCCATTTCTGCACCACTACTATGGGCACTGTTCCCATAGTGGTGATATTATGTCATGTTCATCTACCATGAATTGTAAACCACTTCATACATTCAGCAAGAAGACAGTTCTTCATACTAATCAAATTTTAAAATATAATTTGAAGCAAAAGGTATTCACTTACTAGCATGAACTGAGATAATCCAAACATGTCCAACTAGAACAGTAGGGACCTTCTCCACCCTGACTTCCAGTGATGATATAAGCACTATGACCTAATTCTGAGGAATTAATGCACATAGCAACATCTGATTTGATCCTGTCCTTTAACAGTGACTTCAGACCATTTTGTGCTATTTCAGCCACCACAAATTGATAACTACTCTGCATACTTCAGTTTAAAACAGAGAGGAATACCTAAAACAAAGTAGTGCTTTAGTGTGTAGTAATATAGTATTTATCACGTTGACTCAGTGGATTTTTTTTCTGGGAATTTGACTCTAACCTTAGACTTCCCATTTTAACCTCAAGGATAAGATATGTATTCAGGCATATCTGAAATTTTAGTATGAGAAAATTTTCTGTGATACATTTTTTTTCTCTCAGTGTTGATGATACTGGTTTTCTGGAGGGAAGATGGGGATGTTTGAGTAGAGTGGGTTACTAAACCTTCTCTAATTAAGTTCTTTTTCTTCCAAGGGAAAG